TTCTTTAACCTGTTGTTGCCACCACCAATATGCTTTGACTAATTGATTTGCTTCGATGGTCATTGAAGCATGCCTTTAAATGTTCCACTTTGCCACAACTTTCACTATGTTTTGTTTGCCGTAACTTGGGCTTTATTTTTTGCCGATTCGACCTTCTGGGCTATTATTTCATTGACTGGAAGTAGTCAATCGAAATCTTTTTAAATAGAGACTTCAAGGCTTGGCCAGAATATTTTGATATACATATTCGTAAATATTATAATATCTTTCTTATTACATCAGAACTATTATTTAGATATCCTTGAAGAGCGTGTTTTTACTTTTAGTAAGAAGTTAGAGGCGTTTCCGACTCCATAAGTACATGTGCATAATATTTGTCAGCATCGCAATTTGAATCGATTTAGTCGTGTTTTTCTGTTTGTAAGCTTAGATTTATAATTTTTAATCGAAAGCATTCCTAGACGTACTAATGTGTCTGTTCGCGGACCAATTCTGAATGCTTCATTGCTTCATGTTCAAAATAATTGCACGTATTTTCTAGTTCTGCATTTAAACTAATTAATAAAAAGTGTCAAAATTATTGTGTAAATCGGATCTAAACCATCTGTGTCATTGTGAGACACAGAACAATGCATTCGTATTTAAACATTTCGCCACTCTCACATTGGTTCAACTGAAAGCTAATCATTGGTTAATAGTTAATGCCATAATAAGATATTGTTTATGATTCGATTTCCATTTCTATGTAGCGACCCTGAAGAAGTCTTCACAATTCGGATGGTAATATAATACAATTTAATACAGTATAAAGCCAATGCCACGCTATTGGCTTCGACTTTACAACGCCTAATTGTTTAAAATGTTTAAATAACGCGCCGGTATCCGGTTGGGATTTATGAGAGGTCACCACGCTAAAACCTTTAAAAGAAGGGGCCCTCAAAAAATATTGTCATTTATTCCTCAGCCAAAATTGAGAAAAGGGAACAAGATAAAAAGATAATATTAATTATATAAGTATGTATGTTGTTGTCTGTACTTGTTAAAGGCTAAATTGTGCAAAAGAATATTATTATGTGAGAAAAATATAAAGAAAAATCCTTTTTTGTCCTTATCTTTAGCCGATTGCTTAATAAAAAAAACTCTTATTTGAATACCTAAACTAAATTAATTTGGAGTTGTTACCACATGTGGTGAAACAAGCCATATATGAACTGCCAACAGCCAGCAACTGGTCAATCAGGCACGTTCCCACCCAATTAGTTAGTGGTAATGATGCCCTAAGTGAGAATGTACGATCTCCAAAAGGACTTGCAATTTAACATTAACTTACCATCTCGCCAGCGGGGCACGGTGACGAATAACCGATTTCCAAAGTGCTCGACTCCAACAGGTAGTGCATTTTGCGGAATATAATCTCCACTAGCCAGAGCTTGCTCCTTTAATCGGGCATTCGGGAAAGCAAAGTCCAGTTGGTTCCAGCTATATCGCTCCTGGAGTTTGTAAGCAGCCCACGACGGCGTCACCAAGGCGATCAGGGTCACAAGGACCCACCCTTTGTCCTGGAACATATCACTTAACTCTTAGCAGAGAATCACTCTTAACACTTTGGCCAAAGTGTGTTGGCAGTAAAAAAAATGTATTAATATATATTCAGCTATTTGGGGGTTTTGCTCTAGTCTTCGGCTGTGTGATATTTTTTAATCCTCTTCTGTGGACCGTGGCGCGCAAACGACTGGTGGCCATAATAAGTCGGCCACGTTTTATATGAAGTTTTTTTTCTCCGAAGACGAAGACAGGCCAATGAAAACGAAAACGAAGGCGCGCGCCAACTTCGCCAACTTCGGTGGTTTTTGTGATTCGGGTGGTTCACTGTTCGGGTAATCAGGTGGCTTATGCTGTTCCCATAGATCGGCCAACTTTGGGCTTTGTCTTCCATGATTGATTTTCACGCATGTTTAATAAATACACTCGAATCCCCCAATTTACTGAGTCAGACACCTTTCGCTGGGCTTGGTATGATTTTTGGCCTTCATCGACATTTAAAACTACGCTGATTTGTGCGGAAATCACTTACAATACCTTTCAGTACCCTAAAATATTAAGACCTATTTTAATGTTAAGACTACAATTTATTTAAATTTGGTTGACTTCATTTGCTGCTCTAATTTTTGATAGGCTAACCAGAATGTATTCCTTTCTAAATTTCATATTAGAAAATCTAAAAGCTTAATACATGACATGTCTGTGAATGTCTATAATATGTATCTTTATAGTCGCCTCATAAGAATGTTCTGTTTTAGTATGATTTTTCAACTGATTTCATTAATCTAGAAATATCAAATGGATCGTAATTATAGCGTTTACTATATAGAGTATTTAAAGCAGGTGTTTGTTGTACGGCATTAAAGTAAAACTTTTGCCCGTTTCAATTGCTTAGGATTAGATTTCGATTGGGCGGCACCAATGATTCACAATTTACCGAGGGTCAAACATTTGGTTTCCGCTAGTTATTGGCAGGTGATTTTGCGCATACTCGTACATATACATAAATATATTTGAGTATTACATAAGATTTCCAAAAGGAAGTAGCGCTTTTAGGTAATTCCACTAGGTGTTATTTGAAATATTGTGGTCCCTGAGAACCAGCTGGATTTTTGGGGCGCCCTAAGTGGGCAATGCTCTAATGACCATCGCCGCAAGTAAATGTATAAAATTCGAGTGAATGCGATCGCATATCTCTCTTGGCCCAACTGCACCTGCTTGCTAAAGAAAAAATTGCAAAAGTTAAGTAAAGTAACACAACTAGCCACACGCATAATAAACATGCAAAATAGGTAAAAATACGTTTTACGACCTCCGCAGATGAAGTGGTTTCATTAATCCTCAATCACATAATATACACTTGAAATAAGGAAAACTAAATAATTGAATAAGTGATGTTTAATTTTAAACTTATTTCTGTGAATGTGTAAAAAATAATTTCATAGTAAGTGTACCTATTAAGTATAATAATAGCATTGTAGTTTTATTTTTGTATTTTTTGGGCTTAATGTCATTTATGCAATGTTAGTTTCTAAAAATTCTTCAAAATAATTTGAAGCGGTTCAGCTGGATCCCTTGCCGGCATTCTAAATCTTGTCTCACCCACAGAAAAATAAACAAACACGGTGCGGCAATCGAAAAATATGCTGCACTAATTACGGCTAATGCTGCTTGAATTTAATGCAATCGGCAGGGTTATAAAACGACACACTAGAAATAACCAGTACAGTTTTATTAATTAATTGGGTATGTTGCATAATGAAATGGTGTATCTACTAAAAACGCAATTAATGATGCGATCGCTGCAGCCGTTGAACCTATAATTTAATTCGAATTGACTTGTTTTTCAGTTTTTGGTTTCATTGTGTGGGGGGATGCTGTGTGCTGTGTTTGTCTTAGGTTACAGTTTTTCATTTTCGCCTTGCAGCGCTTGCGGCAATGATTTATACGCGCTTTTCCCAATAATTGAAACAAGTTTTCTGCCCCAGCACGAAACACAACAACATTATCAAGTCGAGCGCGCTAAGTGGCCAAAAAAAGTTGCCACAAATCAGACTACCAAAAAAAAAAAAAAATTTATACGCATCGGATCTCTTTGGCATAATTGACTAACGCTTATGCAACCAACCGGCAACATACGACATTATTTACACACAGGATCACTTCAACTTGGGCGGAAAGCAAAGCCAAATACCGCATGACATTGCCCGACCCGCGTTTCATGTTTTGTTTTCCTTATTCCCCACTTATGGCAGCCTGGACATTTTCTTCCCCCCACCCTAGTTTGGAAATCCATCTTCATTGCAAAACGAAAAACCCGTTGCTCAACTTTATAGAGTCTTACATTAGCCACACACAGCATTTTCCGTTGTGTGTTATTTATTTTTTGTTTTTTTTTTTTCAAGTTCAATGTCCATGGCCCTGACCGCCGAATCCCCTCCTTTCGAGCTGGGATTATTTGGCATGGCCAAATTCGGAAGGCCGCAATCACTTCCTGCTTACACACAATTGCACCCGTCCTCATGACTTGCACTGCGCTAAAACTATTATGCAAATGCTCTTCAATGCCTGGTACTTAGTGCTCGTAAAAAGATTGGGTTAACTCAAGCCAACTTAATAATACGTTCATTTCTACGGATTTATTTTATTAATTTATTTATTTTGTAAATTTAAAACGTCACAGGAATTCGCTGGACTGGACATATGCAAATCAAAACAAGGGAAATTGAGATCTGTCCTCAAATGGATTACAGCTCCCAAAATTGCAACCATAAATGGAATAATTAGATGCCAACAAAGGCTTTGTTTGTTTACTGAATAAAGCTTGTCGTAATTTGATTTCTGTGTACGCTTGCACGAAACGGAATCATTACCTCAGACATAATTTGCCTGCAATTGCGGTGGTGCACTTGTCTCGTGCGGAAAAATCAGTGCTCGAAAAAGCTTAGTAGTATTTCCATGAGTCGTTTAGAGGGGTAGATAAATCAGCGGACTGCGCTCGAAATTTATGAGTGACTCTGCGACTTATTTATCTTAAGCCATCATCCGTTGCATTTTTTATGGGTATTTTAAGCCACTCAGTGTGGTAATCGGGCGATAATCATTTAATAATCGCCCGATCTCTTCAAGGCAAACGTTTCCATTAGCAGTGAAAAAAAAAAAAGAAAATGTAATGATACATTTTGCATTAACTGGTTTAGTTCAATATATTGATACGCAATATTGGTACACCAGTCAAAACATAGGCTTACCAATTACTGGTAAAAAGAATTCTCAATTGATAACTAATCAATTCAAACCTTGCTAAAACAGTGTAAAATTATTATTATTATACGTTACTTAATTAACATTTCGACCTACATATATTAAAAAAAACATGATTGAATAATAAGTTTATTAATTAAACAATATTAAGGAACTATAGTTTAACAAAACGTAAAAAAAATGTTAATCCGTTTTTAGTTCCACCACCATGGAGGAGGCGCAGTAACATAGTTGGCCACATTAAGATAATCCTGTTGAATGTCCTTGGGCAGAGATTCATCCGATTCAGAAGACTCATTGTCTTTTAATGGTTTAGCGTAAGTCAAAGAACTTAGTATGGCAAAGATAAGCGCCAGTCCCAGAATAATTTGATAAAACACCTTCATGTTTGAATTGCCTTCGGACTTCTAACTAGAGAAATTTATCTAGATGCCCCCTTTTATAGTCAAAATTACTGATTGGCAGCAAAACTCTCAGGTGTTTTGCTGGGTATTTCCCGACTAGCAATGTTTGTCATTTAGCAAAATTAGAAAAAAATTAGAACTGGGCCATATTTGCATTTGTTTTTTAGAAGTTGAGCTGACATTTTTAGCTACTTCCGAAAAAGAGAAATGCGTTTTACGCCTGTTTAATTTTATTATTTCGTTTTGGCTAAACTATTACTGATTTCCTGGTGAAAAGCTGTTGTTGCTGCTGCTAATATCGCTGTCGGTTTTGCTGCCAATTAACTGGCTAAAGAGTTGCAATGTTACCATGTTGCAGCATTGAAAACGTCACAGCCATGTCGACCACTGTCTAGTTTTGGCACTCGTCTCGCAGCAATTAGTTATCAATTAAAAACTATTTAAATCGCAACAGCAAACCGACTGTTGTTGGCTTCCTCCTGGTTAATGGCATTATTAACCATTTTGAAACTCTTCTGGAAAGACGACAATGACACTTCCTGCAGTTGAAGCTAACGTAGTCCAGCGTATAAAGGTTGGAACAAGAAACTACGGTAATTTCTCCATTTAAAGGAATTATTTAAGAATTTGGTCAGACAATGTCCAGAAATTCGTCCAGGGTTACGAATAGAGGGAATGCTATAAACCGACAATTATAGAGTTTCATAATTACTGTAATATATTTGATAATTACTTATACCCGTTACTCGTAATGAAAAGGGTATACTAGATTTGTAGGAACCGTTTCCGACCATAAAGAGAATATATATGTTCTTGATCGGGTTCTAGCACTCCCACAAGCTGAGTAACGGGTATCTGATAGTCAAAAAAAATCGACTATATCATTTTTTTTTTTGTTCTTGTTGGCAATGTGATGGACTATGATGAATCCCGATTTACAACTGCGGCTCTGTTATGAACAATTAACAACGTAGTAAGAGGGAGAAACGACGTCCTAAAATAATTAATCCAAATAATTAGTTATTAATTTATATATATACTACCCGGTACTCGTACAGTAAAAGAGTTTGTTAGATTCGACGTAAAGAATGTAACATGCGTTTAGAGGCGTTTTCGAAACAATAAATTATATATATTCTTGATCCGAAGTAGTAGCCAACTGTCGTGGGACAATTGAGATTAAGCTTTATTAAGATACTAGTGATGCCATTGTGCTTGTGCAAGTTCGTTTCCAAATGTTGTCCGGGCCAGAGTAGTGAGCAATATCGATCTCGGAATCAGTGGCTTTCCCAACTCCACAGTAGCACTGCCTTTAGCTGTGTAAGAGGCATGTAATAGTCGAGAAACTCGATTGAAGCGTTCTTTTTTATTTTTGTTTGGACAACTGCTGGGTGTTTTTAGCAAAGCTCGACGACTGACCTTGTGTTTTGGGCACGCTCTGCTTCCTCACCTTTAAAAAACGGGCATCACGCAGTGTTACACGAAGCGAATTTATAGAGTTGAACTAAGAACAAGTAAAACCCAGGAGTCTCATTTTGTTAATTAGCTTCAAAGTAAATTATAATAAATGTACTTTTCCCGTTGGCAGTCGGAAAAAATATAAAAAGGCATAGTTTAAAATCTTAAAATTATAATTCATTATAATTATAAAATTATAATTAAAAAAGAAAACTACAGTGAATGCTGTGGTTGAGCTCCTTGACTATCAGATTCAAGTTACTCAGCTAATGGGAGTGCGAAGGAGAAAAGGTAACTAGGTACAATATCGTTCACGATACAGCAACCACTGTATACAACCATTTATCGATATATCGAATTGGATCGATTATAAACAAGCAAATTGTGTCCCAAACTAAGGTTTAAATTGCCACGTTTTGATCGGTTCCGCTTCGTTGTGGTTAATAAAAATCAAAAGGGGGCTCCAATCTACTCGTTCATCCGATAGATTTATACTTCGGTTTGGCTGATCGGTGGGGAGAAATTTGATCTAAAAGCTTTTAGACCTATGGTAAATGTCTTGGCACCCGCAATAAAAGCTCCAAAAAAAATGGATGTGTATCGAAATAAATGCTGTATTTGGTTAAAAAGCTTTTCACCTAAAAATAAAATAACTTACAAAAAACAGCTATCAAGTATTGAGAAAAAAAAGTTTTTAGTATTGCTTTGTACTGAACTAATTAGAACTACAAAAGTTACAAATAAAGATCAGTAAATTCAATTTTTAGTTATACCACCAAGGAGCAGGTGTGGGCAAATAATTATTTACATTAATATAATCCGGATTGGTTTGTTGCTGAGCTGACGAGGTGGAAGTAACAAATGCTCTATGTTCCATGTTTTGATCCTTGCGGTTCGGGATAGTTGTTTTTCGATTCCATCGCAATCTCTTGCTATTGGGTCGCTGTTTTATAGTATCCCAATTTGAATTTACATTCATTTCTTTTAGTCTCTGACGCTCGTATTGATTTATGGTATCCAAAATTAATTGAAGCTGTTGATTGCCTCCCTCTAAATTAGTTTCGGCGCTTTGCTGTTCACTTCTTGTTTCGGTTATGAGTATAATCACTAAGATAAGCACAACAAAAATAGGCACCCGGCTCGACATATTGCCGCAGTTACTCTAATGTGTTCTTAGTCGATTCCCAACATATTTATAGTCTACATAAAAAGCTAACGAACATGTTAGCAGTTTGGGTACATATTTATATACTGCATCCATTACTCTTGACATCATTTTGTTCAAATGGCCTCAACAAATAATATAATGCCAGGTAAATATTTGGCTTGCATATACAAAATATGTTGATGTTGAAAGACCTGATGTAGATAACTTTAATTGGAGTAATCAAGGCTAAGCTGGAGACAAAGAATGAAACATATTAAATAGGTATTAATTTTTAAGCAAAACATCGTTAGGCTAAATCAATAAGAAAAATAACTTTTTTTGAAATTCTCCTTCTTTAATATTCAAAAAATAGTGCACCCTACCAAATCACAGTCAGAAATGTGTTTCATTAAATTATCATGTTTTTCCTTTTGTTTTTATTTAATATATAGTTAAAAGTCGTGTTTTTGTTTAAAATTGTATCTCAGAAAAAAAATATAATAAGTGTATCTGCTATACACGCGTCGATTTGGATAAGAGGGAGAGGAGGGGATAAGGTTAGGTTTTACATATTCGAAGGGTAGAGGGCAATCATATCATAGCTACATTTTTCGGGTACTTTATGCTTAGTGGTCTACGAGTGGCTTAGATCTCCTCGTTCCTGGGGTCGCTCCATGTTTTTCCTTTTGGTGACTTTTTCTAATGACGTAAGGGGTACTCTTACTTACATAGAATATCCGCATCTATCAGTATTTTAATTAAAGGCATATGTGTACAAAGCTAACGAGTTTTTGGAAGGTAAAGTACGAGGAGTAGAAAACTTAAAAAAAGTACATATATCAAACAATTGTTAAATGTTATTATCGCTTGTGTGGGCCACCCAGCCCAGTTCTAGGAGTATGCTGCAGTAAATCTGGGCAAGTAATCATTACAGGATTCAAACGGGTAGATGGCAATTTGTTGCTTTACAGGATCGTTCCGGGTTTGCGGAGCGGCAGACGACGACGCTGTCCCAAAAGCCCGAGGCCACGTGCCTGCTGCTTAGTTGTTGCCTCCGTCGCTTCCGTAGTTTCATTCTCCGGCTTTCCGGCGCCTTCTGCGCCCGTCTCGTTGCTTCCTCCGGCAAGCGACTCCTCTTTGTCGGACTGCTCCGCGGAGGAGTCCATCGATAAATGCTCCTCCTCAGCGGGGGACTCTGTAAGGAGAAATAAATTGATTAAAAATTTGCTCCACGCTTGTTGCTCACTGGGATTGTTGGAACTGGGATGTCAGCATTCCTCGGCGACGTTACCTGTGGTGGAAGTGGCTCCCAGTTGGAGTCGTCGCTTGGCCAACAAGGGATTAATCTTCCTTGGCGCGGGGGCGGGGGCTGCGGATGCCTTAGGCTTAACCGCATCAGTCTTATGCGTTAGGGCGTTGAGACGTGGTCGGGTTCTAAGACGATTTAACCCAGAAACAGGAGCCGCTGGAGCGACGGCGGTAGCATCACCTGCCTCGTTCGCCTTTTCGCTAGGCTCGCCACCGGCCGTCTGCTCCTCTTTGACGTCGTTCAGATGGCTACTGCTTTCGGCGGCGGAATCCTCGGCAGTTTGTGTTTCCTTGGGCGCTTCCGTGCTGACTCCCGATCTTCCAAGTTTTCCGCGGGGCAGCAGGCGATTGCCACCGGCGCGGTGAAGGTTAAAGCGGGACGGACGCACTGATTCCCCGGTAGAAGGCAAAGCTAACCCGGACTTGGCGTCCTCCGAACCAGCAGTGGCACTACTCTCTACCGCCTCGGCACCCTCTGCACTAGTGGGTGCCTTTGTAGTTGTTGTACGACTGCGTCCACGTAATCCTAGTCCGGGACGACCTCTCAATGTGCTTTTGGCAGTGGTTGATGGGGACTCGGCGGGGGTGTCATCTTCAGCGGGAGATTCCTCGCTGGGTCGCGCTGTGGTGGTTGAGACGCGCAAGCTAAAGCGGTTGCGAGCTAAAAATTTAAAAATTTAAATATTTTTTATAATTTATGGCCAACTTTAATATATAAAAAAGCGATATGTATTTACTTAAGTGACAAGAATGTTTATCTTTATGTTCAATTAAGTTAAACTCAAAGTTTATATTAAAAAAATACTTACGTCTGCCTCGTGCGAAAGACGTGCTGACAGGCTTTACTTCCTTGGCAACCACTATTCCTTCCTCGGCGGCAGGGGTCGCTACTGAAGTGGCATCTGGTGCTGAGGTCGTGCGAGCTCCGGGACGAGAACGCCCTCCAATCGAGGGGCGCGAAAAACGATCTTGCAAAGAAAGATATTTTTTTTTAATTTTAATTTTGAAACACGAGAACGATATGGTCGAGTTTTCGACTATCTCAGCTATACTATAATATCAGCTATATACTATAATGTATATGCTCTACGAGCCTCTCTATATAGCCTTTCAGTTCCACAAAGTGGAAGTCTATTAATATTTAACAAATTCCTGATTAACTAAACCACTCAAATTTTATGTTTGTATAAATTCCAAATTGTTAATGAGAAGAAATAATTCTTATAACCTAGCACGTTTAGTACATTGCTTAAACTCACTTCTACCAGTCTTGTTTGTCTCTGAAGCCACCGGTGCCTCAGTGGTGCTAGTGGTGGTGCTACCACCTTCAGCCCTGTTTAACTTGAAGCGATTACGTCCGCCCAAACCGCTCAAGCCGGCCCTCCTCCCACCAAATAGAGAGGGAGCAGCCGTGGTTGTTGTAGTGGTGGAGGTTGTTGTTGGTGGTTCCGTTGTTGTTGTAGTCGTGGTGGTTGGTGCTACCGTCGTGGTGGTGGTACTCGATGAAATCTCATCAATTAGAGTGGTCAGGCCACCGGCCTCATCCTCATCAGTACTGGCAGTTTCTGTTGCGAAAGTGGTAAAACCCTCTGAGCCTATGGTATCCGGAATCACAGTGGTTTGTTCGTTGTTAAGGTTTTCATTGGTCAATATGGCATAGAGATCTAGAGCGGCCTTCTCCATGGACGGCGTGGTCTGCTCAAAATCCTCCTGATCGACTGACATTTCGGCCTCCTTATCTTTCCTTGCCTGCTCCTCCTTGGCGTCTTGCAGTTTCTTTCTGGCGGCCTCCTCCTGTTCGATAGCAATTACTGGCTTCAATTCATTTTCACCCTTGCGAGCTGCCTTGGTCTGTTTCTCATCCGTGTTAAATGTAGCACTATCCACCAATTCCAAACTTGGCCGCTTTACACTAATCTTTTTGCGCTCGGCAGCGATTTCCAATGAATCAAGAGCTGGTGTTGGTGGCACCTCAATGTTCTTGCCACGACTGGGAAACCGAGTGTTCATTGGAAGGCGTTCAGCCTCGATATCTTCAGAGGCATCAGAGGATCTTCCTTTGGCCTTGCCACTCTGGAGACTATTTCCACTCGGAGTGGCGGTCGTGCTCCTCTCGATATTGGTATATCTAGTCTTACCACGCGTCTCGGGCTCTGCGGACGCATCAACCTTGCTTGGCTCATCGTCCTCTTCATAGTAATAGACATACTCGTATTCGTAGTCCTGGCCATTGGGTCCCTTTTTAATCTCTATTCGGGATTTCTTGCTGTTCTCACTGCCAGCACTGTCCAGGGCAAAGTTTTGGTTGATAAAATCTTCGTGGGGATCCACGACTATATCTTCATCCAAGTTATCGAGCTTCTTGCCAGCTGTGGGCAAAGTGGTCAGTAGTAGAGCCGGTGTCTCGGTGGTGGTAAAACCGCTCTTTTGGTCCAACTCCAACATGGCGGCCTGCTCAATTTCACGCCTGACCTCCGCCAGTTCCTCTTCTTCTATGGCTCTCTTAGCCTCGATGCTCTTCATAACATCTTCGTTAATTAGTGCACTCAAAACGGGGTTCAATTCGGGTCGCTCCTTAGTGGGCAGCAGATTCATCGAATAGTCAGCGGAATCGGTAGCCCTTATGCTTATTTTATGGGAGGTTTGAAATCCCTCCTCCCAGTCCACGGCACCCGGATGTTTGTGTGAAGTTTCGAAGGGAACCGCCGGAGGTAAATTCTCCCCGACCGATTTGTGTTCACTTTCGCTGGCAATATTGGAAAGGGAATCCGCTGACTCTACCAAGTAGTGGGTGGCCAGAAAGACCAGGAGTAAACTGTAAATATTTTAAATGAATGTTAAAATATTTGACTCTAAAATGAATTCAATATTAAAAACATTAAGTATATAAATAATCCGTCCACCATAAACTGCAGAAATGTGTCTACTACTGAATTAAAAAAGGAACTATATATTTTTATACTTTTATATTTTAAAGAATTCAAATGATATCCCTAAGTGAGTGATATGCTCTTAAGGCTTTCTTTCTGGTTTCTGATCGGTGTGACCGTCGCCTAAGACGGCTTGCCGGATTAAGTTGGCTATTCAGCTTTACAGCCCCAGCTGCCAATCTTCGATGTGATGGCTCATCTCCAATCTGGCATGAAAACCTTTCACAATTTCATTAGCCAGTGAATTGGCCATCATGTCTAGCCGTCGAATAAAGCGTGCACCGTTGGCTATATAGCACCACCGGCATCACAGCACAATAGTTGGGCTCTTTAAATCCGCGCTGCAATGCAATGAAAGCGATACTCAAGGTAAACCGCAAAATGGTCCAAAAACGATCAGGAAACTAGACGCAGGAATCGCGAACCGGCTTTCCACTACAAAAGGTGTTAACCCATTTTGATTCGAAACCAGATAAAACCAGATTGAAATTCCCCAGTGTTCAGTTTTTCAGTTTCTAGCCAGGGAAACCAATCCTACTTAAAGAAAATCATATGTGGGACTCGGTTCTAGCTAGATGTTAAAAGTATGTTAAATACAGAATGTCACAACGAATCATTGTCACGATATAATGGCAAACTATATAAAATGTAGTTTTTTTTAACATACAAAATTGAAATAAAAACAAAAAACTTTTTCTGACCGCGAATATTTTTTTCCTGTGTACGCGAACAGAGCGCTCTTGACGATAACTTTTAACATTTTGAATTGTGTGCAAGTCTGGCTGCTGGCGTTCACTTCTCAAACAAGTTTTGGGGACTAG